TATGTACACTGCACTCGACCTGGTGGATAATTTTCATATACTGCTCATTCGAGCAAGTAAATATCCTGCTAACAGTGATTAGTAAACCAAGCGGTATGCTGTATGAATTATTGGTTACGCCTAGTGGCTTTCCAATTCTCCGACTTCTTTATTCTTATAGTGACGCAATTTTTCCGCCATCATCGTGCGCGTGCATGAACATATTCGATGACACATTGGTCTCTAGTCGGGCGGGACAGGGTCTGTGTAGGACGTGGATAATCACATTGACCATTTACAAGCCTTTTCGAGTGCACGCGCACTAATAAACGCTACATCAACGCATCAAAACGTGTCCATTTTTAGGATGCTTCGCTCGGAAGCAAGTTATTAGGGCGGATCCTGCAAATGTGTGGGCTATAGTGGATTAACCAGTTCCTGAGAATAAAAGAGCCTACGCAAAGGCTTGTTTTTGCCAATTACTTGCACGAGTATAGTAAAAATTACGCTAATATGGCTCCGCCATTATCCAATTCTCTCAAACAGGATGTGGAGTGGTGCTGGAGTAGCGCCGTAGCAGAGGCTTTTAAGGCCTTTAAGGAGAGTCTCCTACGTGCCCCAAATTGTATTTGCCATATTCTGATCGACCATATATTGTCATCGGTGACGCTTTGGATTCTGTCGTTGGCTGTGCTTTGTTACAAACAGATGTTGAGAGACGCGAGCGTTTAATCGCATTTGAATCTCTTCAGCTTAAATCTGCTGAAAAACTTTTAAGTTTTTCAGCGCCTAGGAGCTACTTTCTATGAAGTAAGCTCTAGTCAAATTTAGATTTCGTCTGCTTGGTTTTGATCCTTGCGTGGTTTAAAATGATTATGCGGCTTTACCCACGGCGACCCAATCGCCTCACCTCTCGCAGATGATGGCCCGTTGACTCTCATTCTTTGCAAAATAAAACTTTGAGGTGAAGTTTAGACCTGGAAAGCAAAATACGCTAGCTTTCGCGGCGGCCCGACTTTGAGATTGCTTATGTAACGGTCTTGTCTTCTTCGATGACTGACTTAATCCGTCAAGTTTATGCCAGGGGTGAACGGTGTGTTGAGCACTTTAAAGCGATAAATTGTTAAGACTCGGGCAAAAAATTGTCGACACGCTCGCGTGCGAAGCTGCATCGATATTCTATGGGAAATGGCTTGTTGTGACATCGCACGATAACTGCGAATAGTCCTCTTATTGTTGTTCCTCATGATGAGAAATTGATGAATTGCATCCTCTATGAGGTGCACGACACAGCTAATAGCGTTCATCTTGTTTGTGAGAAGACCTACAGCTTGGCTGGCCAGAGTGATTGGTGACTCAGAATCTATAATAGGTTATCACTTGTGTGCGCACATGTGAGACGTGCCTGAAAGTCAAACCCTTAGCACATGGGGATGCTTCGCTGGCTATTTGCATGCACCTTCTTATTGTTAAAAGTCTATCAGCATGGACTTCGTGTCCGGCCTACCAAAGGATTCGAATGGCGACACAATTATCAAGGTCTTTGTCGACCGTTTGAGCAACATGAATCACTTATAGGCTGTGACGGATTCGGTTGATGGTGAAGGTACGGTTTTGCTGCTAATTGATCGCGTGTTTCTCCAACATGAACTGCCACTGGAAATTGTTTTTGACCGCAATCCTCGTTTACAGGCAATTTATTGAAGGCCATTTCAATGCGATTGGCACCAGATTGGACATGTCTATCGCGGATCATTCGCAGAAAGATGGTCAGACTGAGGTGTCAATCGCATTCTCGGTGACGTCTTATGCAGCGTGTGCACTAAGACTCCTCGGCATTGTACCTAAAAGGTCCCCATCGTTCAATTTCCTATGAACGATGCCATCCATGTCTCGAAGGGCTTTAGTCCTGTCTACGTGAACTACCTCAGCCCTCCCCCTCATTTCTGTCAACGCTACCACTGCGTGGTTCAGGGCTTGGTTAGAGAGAGGTATACAATCGGCTTGCCGATGCCAGCTTTTCTACAGTTCAAAAACAGGTTAGTGCGCTCCTAACAACAATATTAAATGTCTAAGGCAAGTGCGTGACACAATAGCTAATATCAAAGACGAACAGAAATAAGTGGATGCTAGCGTCAGGAGCTGTTTTGAAAGTTATAAGGAAGGTGACAAAGTCTTACCAAACGCTAAGAACATACACACAGATGTATTGACTGCGATGTTTAAAGCTAAGCTGCGTCCTCACTTCATTGGAACATTTACAATCGTGTCCAGGAAAACTATTGCGAATACGCTCAAATTACTGCGCAAATCGCGTACACACTCCGCGTTTTATATTTTTTCGGCTAGCTTGATCCGTACCGGGTTCCGTCCCGGGTTGAACGGGAGGCGCTTGCGCCGCGAAGGTTGATTTTGCCACAGGCTGCTGCATCCAAATCGGGAGGTTAAGCTGTAACTTCGTTCGTGTCTGACTCGTTGTAAATGTCGACACACGATCTTCCACCACGTTAAGTGTGCAGTGGGTCTAACTAAACGTCTCGCAAAGTCTGCTTACCTCGTAATTTTAGGGCCTCATTGTTTGCAGATGAAACCGACCTCCACCGGCGTAGCCTGACCAGCGAGGGAACCTCCATTCCATGTGGAGAAGGTAGTGCAACCACATCGGCGTCATGGTAGATACTGGTATTTGGTGAAGTGCCGGGAATACGCCGAGTCCAAGAACTCGTGGGAGTACAAGATACCCCTTAGGCAAAATTGTACATATTCTATGGATATTTTTGACAAACCACGGTCAGGTTCAACTTGCTATCCTTCACGCTTTCTACCTGTAATGAAAGCAGAAGCAGGGTCCACGACCAAATTTTGATGTGGAATCGCAATCATCGGCACAGTCGCAGCGTATCGCGTGCGGAACATCTCTCGCAAGTGGACTTTGGCCCTCACTTGGCGAAGTCATAACAGAGTTTCCACTCGAAGATTATGTCAGCCTTGTCGGCGCTTGCTCTGAAAGTCTTCATGCTGATCAAGCGCCGTGCTTTACGCACCCAGATTATAAACGCATTATCTTCTTTAAAGTCCAATTTCCCTACGCCTAGGAGTACATGGATACCCTTTGTCAGTGAAATAGATATACCATGACCTTGGTCTAGAAGCCTTGCCTTTTACTGACTTGGAGTCATCACATACGGTAACGGTTACCGCTCACGCACTACCCTGTCTGCTTCAACCTCTTTAGGTGAATTTGCTGCTGTACCGATAATTAACGATATAACAGACTGGCCAATCGTCTTTCGGAAACGTTCCTTCAAACTAAGAGATGTAAACACATTTTCAATAAGACTTTATAGTGTCGCCATGATTTGAGATCTGCGCTAAGCGCTCTCCCGTTGTTAAAGCACCTGCTCCTGCTCCTCGTCCAGTGGGTTGATGATTGCCAACCCCATACCGGGTGCCGTTTGCAGCTCTATTAGCGCTTTCGCATCCCTAAGTTTAGGGAAAGGATTAGGTGCATGTATCGACATGTCTTCTCGCACGAGTGTGCTGAATATGGACTTGACATTGCTGCCATAGTCCGGTTCCTCCTCCTCATTGCCGGGAGGTCGTTAATGGCCGAAGATTCTTTCGGCGTCGCCATGTCTGACGAGTTGAACAAACCGTGAGGTTATTGGTCGCCGGTAGCCTCGATGCGGTAAAAATTCGATTGACGTTGTGTAGTATCGTCAGTCTGGTGGGAAAGGGTGCAACGGGATCACACGTCTGTTATCGTTCTGAATAGAGATACATTGAATATGCAATGTACAATCCTAATTTTATCTGTGATCTTTGATTTAGTTGATAACCTCAGTCATTCATTGATGACATATTGATGCACCATTCAATCTGTAATGGACTAAACGTACTATGGGAATTAGTTTGATCTCAGTTTCAGGTAGTTAAATGAGATTTATTACAGACGAAACTAAGAAATAAAAGATCCGTTCCTCTTTTTATCGATTCTTGCCACGTTTCTACTTTGGAGGTCGGCAAATCTCAGAGAGTCAGAGCCGTATTGAAAGCGTAAACTCTAGAGCATCTTGTAAGAGCGATAACTTAAATTGCAATTGGTCCCTTGAACCAAGACTAGAATCTCTACGAGCGTAAAGACTCTAAGAGCCTTTGTTGACGATTTTTTTGATCGAGAAAATCGTTAAATTCAATAGTACTTAGTTCCGAAGAACTAGGTGACATCTAGTCATAAGGATTTGTCAAAACTTGTTAAGCTCCACTAAAAGTGCGACGGGGTACAAATTATTCAGCTAATTAAATAAACCTTGCACTGCTGACAGTGTAAGAGTTTGTGCGTCTAACTACCTCACGTACACTTACGTGCAGAGAAAGATTGCTGTACGCATTAAGAGTACTATGTAAAAGTAAGACGTAGAACTGCATTCAGTATAGTTAATCCTTTTGACACATCCTTGTTTGACTTCATTTAACCATGTCAAAATACAAACACGTATTGTAACTCTCTGCGCGCCACTCATTGCGTGCTTCTGTCGTGGCTAGACTTTATTGGTTGATATCTCGGTCTTATATCAACTAATGAGCAGTATCTTACATCTGCGCAGGCAATTTTATCTATTGGGGTGATATCGTGAGAATTCGTGAGAATACTGTGTTTGTCCTGACATGTTATCCATACTTGATGATTACCATATGCAAATTATCATGTAACGGGGACACCCGATTACACCACCCCTACCCTAACCACCAGTTACATTAGTGACTATTTAACGATCAGGTGACAGATTTTGAGTGGCTCCGGGACCGAAATGCACTTTTTACCAATCTGTTCATTCTTTATATTCACCGCATGGTAAACAAGTCCATGCGGTGTGCAGCCAAAGCTGCTGACAACTCGGCCATGGGACTTTGGTCTGCTGCCGCAGGGGAGACATGATCATCTCAAGCAGCTGACGTAAGGTCTTCTGCTGCTTCCACATTTTATCCTGCAGCAGTCGCTGCTGCGGGCGTACGTGGTGATGCACGGCGCGATCGGAGATTATGAGCTCAAGCTCATATACTCTGGGGATCTTGACGGTGAGACCGACTCAGAGAAGTCGAAAGCTAAGGGTAAGCCAGAAATAGCTAAACCGGAGCTGAATGAGCCGGGTTCTCGAAACGCTTTAGGCCTCGCAGAGCGTCGTGACATTTTCAAATCGTGTGACGAGTCGGGCCCTCCGTCTTCGAGACGTAGTCGTTCGGCTGAAAGCGAGAAAAGCGGTGGCTCTGGCCACCGGGACGATCTTGAAGGTGATGCAATCGTGGATTAGGGTACGGGTGATCGGGATGATCATGTTGTCGGTATTCTAATGATATTAGGAAGCATCGTTTGATGGATGTAGCACTCAACGAACTAGAGCCTATGATCCTGTAGCGACTGGCAGCGAAAAAAAAGTTCGACGCCCCACAGTGAACTATGGCACGAAGTGACAAATCTTTTGTCACTCCTAAGCTCGAGACGATGAGGGGTACCTCATCGCCAAGTGCAGAGACACACAAGGATTGTGAATCTAGAGAAACTTTCGTCATTAGGTTTGCAAATTCTGTTGAGTTTGCCGGATCAGTAAGGCTCTACGCCCCTACTGACCCGGACCGTTTTTTTACAGTCCGCCACGCTGTTGTGACTTCGACACAGCGTCGGACCCTCGACCGTTTCTCATCTCGGTAGCGATCGATCTCTTTGCTCAGTGTTTCGAGACACTGGGCGTGAAGCACCACACTCGTAGACATTGTGTTCTGATTTCTGACAGCGCTTGTACTTTTGCAATTGCTTACTGCTTGAAAAACGAAATATCTTGCTCTCGACAATGCAGAGGTGCATCGGTTCTATACCTCCTGCCTCTACTCGTTTCTAAGGATGATAGGGGGTCAATCTAGCGTGAGCCTATCTCACACTAACTTTCTCTTGCACCACAGTTGTAATCGCTTCCTCAAGCGACTTGAAATCGATGCTGAACAGGTGGTTCCTCACGGAAACAACTGTAAGGCCCAGTAAGAATTTCGTGATAAACACGAATTCACTTACAGGGTTCGCCACTACGCAACTTGCAAGATAACAAACGTGCTGAGCGTAAGCGTAAACGTCACGCTTACCTTGCTGTGTCTTCAGGAGCTCCGAAAGAGTCCTGCACTCAGCTCTTGGCTGCCCAAAAGCCTTGCTCAGCAGAGTCTTAAAGACCGCCAACGATCCAAATGCGTTTGCATCGTGTGATTAACGACCCAAGTAATATCACGCCCTGAAATATCAGATTTGGCAAATACAACTTGCATATCCGCATCGTCGTTGTGGCAAGCCTTATGGCGTCGTTAACTTCGATAAACCATCTCGACACGAATTCATCCTCGACTCCCCGGTACTCAAATACTCCTAAATTTAGAGTCTCTTGTCGATGTTGCAGAAGCAGGCTGAGACTGTTGCTGTCTCAGGAGCTCATTCTGCTGGTGACCTTGCTGATGCAGCAGGGTCACTCCAGCTCGCGACGTGTCAAGTTCTCGTTGCAAGAACTTGGCGGTTACGGAATGCTGCTGATCCCTATCCCTTTAGGATAGCTGAGGCCAGACAGCTTCTTCGCCAACGGTCGAACACATTCTTTCGACCGCACTCCATCCGACATCACTCAAATAGGAGTAACTTCCACGGGTGCCTTGAAAGGTGTCGCCGCCTTCATCTTCCAACAATTTAATGCTAGACAGCGTTTGTGGTCCTTGGACGGACTACAAAGTGCTACCAGGTGTAACGGAGTACCAGAGCTACACACTGGAAAACCAGTGTGGAGCTACTCTGAACGAAAGCAGTGTGAGTGGTGCCTCGCTACCTCTGTACACTATGAAGAGGAAGGGAAAGCAGCTAGGAACTGACTAGTTGCTGGTAAAAGTAATACTGTACTATATATAATTAAGGCCTAATCTATTAACCTATGTTTTAGTCCCGACTTGATAACATTAATCTACAAAATTGGATGCGAAAGTCTTGCTCACCACTCATTGCACGCGTCCAGCGTTGATTGGACCACTAGAGCTGGCTTATTTTTTGCAAAATGTTTTTGATAATACAAATAAGAGCATGGAGATAATCGGATTCGAACCAATAACCTTATATTTGCAAACATACTTTCTACCAATTAAACATATTCCCAATCAGTGTATTGGGAAGTGAGCTTAAGACCCTTTGTGATATGATGACCCATATCAGCTAATCGGCGAGTGATTCTGAATATTATCCCAAGTGGTAATATTCACGAACATGATCAACCTTTATGATAATACTCTAATCGACAAGTATCAAGGGTTAATCAAATGTAACAGGCTCACTCCGTTACAAATTCCGTACTGAGCCGACAAGATCAAGAAGTGACGCCAAGCTCATAATGCGACATGTATCTGCGACGAAGACGGTCGTCTTATCGGCACATGAGTAATGATTGTGGCGTAAAACTAGCTTTACGCGACGCATAAGTGACTTCGTGGTCGCAGCTAAATCCCCACCTCGTTCGATCTGTAGATGTAACGTGTAGTGAGCTCCCTTACGTTCCCCCAGATAGAAAGTGATCATACGTTCGCGACTAACATTACGAGTCCGTGGAGGCCTTTGGAGACGTTCATTACTGCTTTTGAGATGGCGATTGCCCTTGATCACACGCCATACACCGGGGATGAGCATCATATTAATCACACGGAGCTGCTTCACTCTCGCAAAAGTTTGTCGAAGAGATGACGTGGGTGAGACTTGCTGGTCGGTCGTCATGCGACTCACTGTAGCTACTGCAAGCCGCTGCTACCACCGAAGAGGTCTTTTCCATCAGAAGTGCCAGGTGTTGATTTCGGGATTTGTAGCCTAGAGGTTGGATGTCTCTCACAGTAGACTTTGCAGTATGCGTCTCTTGCATGCTGATTGACTTGCGTCCGTGCACCCTTTGGGATCATCGAGAACGACTTGTAGCCGAAACAGCTAGGAATGTTGCGTCTTGTGTCCAGGACTGTGTCTAGGAGAACACGGCGTCGTATCAGCACGATTAAAGCGCCGATGTCGCTTCCGCTGTGAGAACACCCATTCTTCCAGCACGATCCAATGACCAATACAGCGCCCGCCGTGTCACGTCTGCCTACCGTGAGCATCCAGCGTTCGATTCGACTGCCCAGCGACTTGTCATCAACAAGCTCTTTCGTAATCAGCAATGGAGGAGCGGTCGCCAATGATTTGGAGACGCAAGAGCCGAGTCTTTACACAAATGGACAGAGCGCATAAAGAGTCACGTCCATTGGCTTCAGGAGCGGACGGTGTGCAGCATTTCACACACCTGCTGGTGTCTAAGTGCATAGTAACGCACGCGTGTCAGGGTCTAGACGATGGTGCTTGCTCGAAGTGGAAATGACGACGACGATCGGTCTTTCCAATTGACACTATCGTTCGTAAACGAGTGTGTGGTCGATAGTGAAGAGGAAGAGGAAGACGCAGAGGCGCTGAAGAGGACAATCCTTTTAATGCAGCGTGGAGACGAAGATATTCCATCGCCCAGCAGCTATAGCCCCGTGGCTAGCGTCCCTATTGGATTTGGAACGTCGCGTATGGCTCCATGTAGCTTTGAGTTGACGTCTGCAAGATCGGCTACGACTTGTGAGATAGTAAGTACTCACCAAGAAAAGAAGCGGAGACGACGAAGAGGAGAGACCCTTGAGCGGAAAAGGTTGTGGCAAACAACTGGTATCTGTCATGACGCCAACGGTAAAGACAGTCGACTGGAACTTGCTTATCTTGAACAAATCGTCGAGAAGCTTCAGCTGGAGCTGCAGGTTCTGCAGAGTCGATCGAGTCGTCAAGAAGCTGCTCGGTTCCAACGTCTTGGACCTGCGGATGCGATCGAAACAATGCGAGATACGCCGAGAGTGTGGTGCGATATATCAGGTCGACAGCACAGGCGGCTGAAAGTAAGTGAGCGTGAAAATGCTCGTTTAAGACTTGCTGTGCAACAACAGCAGGAGGCTGCGCATTGGATGCAGAACTTGGTGCGGAAACGAGCTAGTCACTTGGTGCGTGAATATTCTGGCTGGCTGCAATCTCGAAGAGCCATGAGTGGATCGTGAGCACTGACTTTGTGGTGCTGTTGTTTAATCCGGGTGTAGATGAGTGACTGTTCGTCCTTCATGGAATTTGACGCCACTGGAGAGCGTTTTGTCCGCATGCTGAGCTCTCAGTGTGGAGATGCAGGAGACTTTCCTCTTTTATTTCGTCATCTTGAGACGGCACGTCAAGAGGTAGATGCCGTGTTCACTTCCAACGGTCTGACGAAAATGGTGCTTACTCCCAGCGACGTGCACCTTCGCGACGGTGTCAACGGCAAGTACCTCGAAGCGTTCTCAAACAAGGTGCTACCTTTCGAGCTGCGTGCTGTGGCTGAGGCTACGTGGGACCACTTCAAGGGAGGGGAGAAACACCTGGGCAATGGCAATATCTACGAGAAGACCGCAAAGGTTTGGATTGGTGCTCTTCTTGTTGGGGAGTCTTGAGGTTTGCTTGTAACGTAAGTTTGTGTTGTGGTCGCCTACAACTAGAGTTTTGAAGATCCGTACACGATTATGGAGGAGTTTACCAAGGAGATGCACTCCAAGAACGCTCGAGCAGATATAAAGGCGCAACAACTTGTTCGCCGCTACACGGAACCCGGCCGAGATATTATTATCTGGGTGTCGGTGGCAAAACCTGCCGAGATTAAGCACAAGATGCTGCGTGGACTTACTTATCATCTTCGTGGCTACGCCGTGACGAAGCGTTCTCCAGCATCGACACCGGAACACGAGCTATCGCAGTTGCAGTGTGTCTCGCTGATCCCACTAGAACCAGAGGCTGAGGCTCTTCACGGCGCCGACACCGTACGTGCTGTCACTAACTTTCTCATTGTGACTGCAGTTCAAAAGATGCAAGCTCATCAGGACTGTATTGAGAACGCCCTCGTGGACAAGTAACTGAGACGGCGAGGTATCATGGTGTCATGCTGAGACGATTGCCATTCGCGAACATGATGAAGGATTGACAGTTGGCGAATCAGTTGGGAGCTGTCGAGTCATCTTGACTGAAGATACTTCCTTGCTCGTTGCAGTTCACTGGAGAAGTACCTGCTTAAGTCCGACAGCTCCAGCAAAGCACGCTATCCTGCGAGTGCATGTGCAGTGTCGTGAAGTCGATGGATCCATAGATCGAGTGGAACAGAGTCGTCCGGTAGAATTTGGATTGAGCTGTGTGGAGGTGCAGCGAGGACCCGCGGCCTAGCGGACACGGTTCCATCCTTGAAGACAGTGACCACGTTGATTTGGGAGCACTGATCTTTGTGCATAAACAAAGCGTCGAGGGAATGTTGCCAAGTAAATACCTCACGGCGACGCGGGTCGGTGTCAACTTCCGTCGACGGACACAGGTGACAGCTGTCTGATCTGCTTGACATAATTTTCTGTCCTGTCAATGTGACATGAAAAACATCTGCAGCAGCGGTTGGGAGGCCAACTGGAAACTCGGATACTATGCTAAGCCGAGTCGATGACCTTTAATCGTGGAAAACATGGAGTTTGCTTCTCTCGGGCAGCTAGAGAAGCTGAAGTCAATGGATGTCTTGTCGAGATGCTACTGTAGCACCTCTATCGGACGAGTTCTAGTGAAATTAGCGAGCTGCAGACATTGCAGAATGTGAGGATGTGGTAGGCAGCCAACGCTGTCACTGTGAGGCGGCCAGGACTGAACTGTCTGCCGGAAGCGGTTGGTCAGCGGCAAGCAAAGTGTGCTTAGTAGGATGGTCAACAAATTGCAAAAGTGGGGTCTAGTGAGCAATGCAATGTGGATTGGTTCCTCACGCTGATTCTTGTGTATCAAGTTGCTCACAGTTCTCTATAGACACTAGCGTGCTTTGTGGAATCGCATGCACCATCATGTCGTGTTCATATTAGCCTTATCGAGAACATCGGAAGATTGTAGGACCTGTGTGGACTCGATGAAGCACAATTATACCTTGTAAGTTATCACTGATGAGCTGGAGTGATGCTTGTATCATCCACCTTGTGCGATGCACATCGATTTTTATCGAAGCAAAAACGTAGAAATGATAGGCAAGCATAGGAGCTGTTTTAGCTGGTCAAGGTGTTACAGCATTCTCAGCTTTCGCTTGTGACTGTAAGAAGCAAGAATCGAAGGCTCTCCCTGAATCTCGTTCACCGGAGCACACGGACATAAAGGCGAGTGCACTGTTGCAACCTCGCACCGATATGTGGGATAGGTTTCGTCCAGGTGCTGCCACCTTTTTGTCTCGCATTTGCAGGCGAAGAGTATGAGCGCTGACTGCAGCAGATTGGCCAGATGGATGCCCTCTGCATGACGACCAGCGTCCACTACACCTTTATACTGATCGATACATGAAAGGGATGTCTCTGTTGAATGCAATTACATTGGATCGACGATTGCCGATACGATGATGTGCTGTTCGAGTATTGGGGCGCAAGGGACGATCTCAGTACCTTTCTAAGCCAGATCACTTAGCTTCTGCGGTACAGCACCAATCTGATGACTATGACCCGGTCTACTATCTGCCGCGTACTTCGTCGGTGAACATCGTATGTGATGTTTAAGTGTTAGTTATGGGTTCAGTAGCTATTGCTTTGACAACACCCGGCCTAGTTGTCACTTGTGCAGGTCGTAATGCTGCAACTTGGATGCTGCCTTTGTAAATTAACTAAAGTGCTTTTTTCACTAAATAAATTTAAAGTAGTTTTTACTTCTCGCTGAGCATAAATAATAAAGTGTGAGGTTACTTCTCGTTCAGCATTCCTAATAAAGTTTGAGATTAGCGTGCATGGAGGCAGTTAAATGTATGAAATACCAACATATTTACATAGAGCCGATGCCGCATGGCTTAACTCTGTCACTATGACAATATCAAGGCAATCTTCCCTGGAGTATCTTCCTCATCACCAATCAAGGACAATTTCGTCATATCTAAGCAGCAGCAACTAAATGTGGCCGGATTAAATCAGAACCTCTCAGACGGTGAACAGCCGTTTATTCAGTTTGCCTCTCATACGATACTGTCAATTGGTCGCCATCCTCATGTGCCATGGCCATTTTAGAAAGAAGATAGGAGTGAGAACAAGAGCAGATCGCGCTGATCTTGATAGAATTGGTAGCAGCACTCCATGCTTCTTCTGCGCAGGTGGTACCGTTCCATGTGGAAGTTGACAGAGAGGCACAAATGCACCGAACGCACTGCAAGAGAAGAAGATCGTTCGCTATACCCACTTAAAAGACAAACAGCGTCCCTCTCATTACAAAACGAAGCTTCATGAGTAAAGATGATCCAGGCTTTGGTCAAGTGACCAGTGGGTCATTGTAGTTATAACACACAGCGCTAGACGTTGTCTCTACTCCACACAATCCAAAAGAACAACGTGCAATCAATCTTGGAGAACGGTCTGATCTTATGAACACGAACTGAAGATCATCACAAAGTGAACAGCGTAGTCGATGATCTCTGTAAGAATGTCCAGTGCAGTAAATGTTTCGAAGACCCTCCATTGCTACAGCAACGATGCTATCAACTGGACTTTATGCGCAGAATAACTTACGATACAAAGAAAGGATCGAGTGTGTGCAACGTCCAGAAAGAGTGTACACGAGGCAGAAACGCTGCTAGAACGAGAGCCACAATCACGTTCCGCTTGTCTTGTTCTTGTGCGACATACTAGCTCCTTTCAATAAGCTCACAGACGTACAGCTCATACCCATTGCAAAACAAGCTCTCAATACCTCATGCCAAAATCGCCAACCTGTAGATCTTCGTTTTCGTCGACTTCAACGCCACAGCCGTCCTCACGAACGTACCCAACATCACGAGCTTCAACTTTACCTCGAGTACGTCCGTCACACACGCACACACACACCAAACTCTCGAAGAGCTACTACAACCTCACGACTTCACCCTCGCACGGCTATGCAATCTGTAGCCATCTCACACCCCCACCAGCCTGTATTCGATTAACGGAGCTGCCCGCCACCAATCGTCCGTAGCTCACATCGCTTTTCATTCGGCAGGCAGTCAGGCAGGCAGTCCGTCAGTCGCGCCAATGGACTTCCCAGCGCTCGTGGCCGCTCTTATGAGCAGCGACAATGCGACGCGCAAGGCCACTGAAGCGTCCTATGAAGCGCTCAAAGCAGAGCAGCCGCAGCTCCTTGTGGTCCACCTCGTGCAGCTCCTGCGCACAGCATCGGAGCCAGAAACGCGCGCCTTTGCTTCCGTGCTCTTGCGTCCACTACTCGAGGTCAAGGCCGGCGTATACCCGCAGCTGGACGCAGCGACTCAGACGCTACTCAAGACGCAGCTACTGGAAGCTGTTGCCAGGGAACCCATGGCTCCTATTCGTCGCAAACTCGGCCATTTGATTGCCGAGCTCGCAGCTGTTTCGGACAAGCACGACCACCCGTGGCCGGAGCTGCTCAGCGCTGTGTCGGTGCTTACCACTAACAGTGACGCGCAGCTGCGTGTCACGGCTCTGGACTTGCTGGCGAAGCTGGCCGAGTATGCGGGGGACCTGCTTGCTCCACACAAAACGAGCTTCTTGACGCTGTTTACCACTGCTCTTAATGATAGTGACAGTGACGTGCAGATTGCTAGTGTCAAGGCTGCATCTGCTTTCTTGCTTACGCTTGAAGACAAGCAGGAGTTGATGGCGTTTGCTGTGCTCGTGGCTCCGATGCTGCGTATCATCGAAGCACTGGTGCAAACGGGAGACCCAGTGGCCTTCCGTGAAGTGCTCTCGGCTCTTGTGCAGATTGCAGAGGTGCACCCGAAGTTCTTCCGTGACACGCTGAATGACGTGGCCCGTGCAATGATCTTTATATGCTCGTCACAAGAGCTGGAATCTGAGACGCGTGAACTTGCTCTGGAGTTCCTCATCTCGTTGTGTGAGAACGCTGGCGGTATGGTGCGCAAGTCGCAGTTTATTGTCACAAACGTCGTGCCGCTGGTCATTCAATTGATGTGCGAAGTTGAAGAGGACGACATGTGGACGCAGCATTTCGACGACCCAGAGACCTTTGCTGAAGCCAACGACGAGGACAACTCAATCGGCGATGCTGGTGCTGCAGCCATTGACCGTCTGAGTACATCTCTAGGTGGCAATGCTGTGCTTCCGGTGGCCATCCCGGTTATCAAAGCCTTTGTTGGTGATGCCGATTGGCGAAAACGCCGTGCTGGTCTGTACGCGATCTGTCTCCTGGGTGAGGGCGCCAAGTCACTTATGACGCGCGAGCTTGACAATGTGGTGGCGATGGTATTGCCTTACCTTAACGACCAGCACCCGCGAGTCCAGTATGCTGCGCTGCATAGTATCGGACAGCTTGCTGATGATTTTGGTGAAGTAGAGAAGGGCAAGAACTTCCAGGCGAAGTTTCACGCGGTGGTAATGCCGGCACTGACGGCGCTGATTCAAGGCGAGCAACTCGTGCTGCGGACACGTGCTCTGGCTGCCAGTGTGATCATCAATTTCTGCAACACAAATGTGTGCAAGGCCAAGTACGTGACGCCGTACAGCCATGCCTTGCTTGAAGCCCTCTTCAATACCATGCGCTCATGTCCACGTCAGGTGCAGGAACAGGCGATCACTGCTGTTGCGAGTGTGGCGAAAGTAATCGGTGACGAGTTTCTCTGCTTCTACGACATTTTCATTCCGCTTGCAAAGGAAGTGCTGACAAATGCTCATGGAAAGGAGTACGCTCTACTGCGTGGCAAGTCCATGGAGTCAATTGCCCTCATCGGTCAGGCGGTGGGTAAGGAGCGTTTCGTGAACGATGCCAAGGAGATCATGGAAATCCTAGTGCGTGTGCAGTCCAGCGAGGAGCTGGAAGGTCCCGAGGTGCAGTATGTGGCACAGTCGTGTGCCCGTATCGGAAGCATCTTGAAAGAAGACTTTGTCCCGTACCTACCCTACGTGATTCCGCCGCTTATCAGACAGGCACAGACTCAGCCAGATATTCAACTGTTGGATGTCGCTGATGACAGTGTTAAGGAGGATGGCGTGACGATCGATGGCAAAGACACTATGACGCTGGATATTCGTGGTGTGGGTAAGAAGCGTCTGGAAATCAACACAAGTGCTTTGGAGGACAAGACAAACGCATGCAATATGCTGTATCAGTCAGCGCTTGATCTTGAGGGACATTTCTACCCTTACGTGGCCGAAGTAGCGCAGGTGATGATTCCGTTGCTCGAATTCGAGTACGTCAGCGACATTCGTATTGTGAGCAGTTTGACCATGGCGAAGCTGTTGAAATGTGCTGTCAATGGCACGCTCAACCACGGGCCAGGTGCGGTGGCGCCAAGGTTCCCGCAGCAGCTATTTGAGCAGTTCTTTGAGCCAATGTTGACTAGTTTGCAGAAGGAGGATGAACTGGAGTGTCTTAGCGCTTTCGTTGAGGCCATGTCTGCTGTCCTGGAGGTGTGCAAGGATAGCCAAGAGATAGGTTTTCAGGTTGGCGTACCGCTGGACCATGTTCCGCGTGTGGTGGAGGTTTTCAAGACTGTGGCGTCCAGCAGTGCCCAGCGTCTGACGATGCAGCACCAGGAGAACCAACAAGATGAGGACTACGACGCTGAGGCTGCTCTGCAGCAGACTGAGAATGATGAGCTTGAAGAAGGTGTTTTCCGCTCGATGGTCGACTCCATCGGCTGGATCGTGAAGATCCAGAAAGACGCATTCTTTCCTGTGTTCAAGACGCATCTTTTGTCGTTCGTAACACCGCTTCTGGATCAGAAGACGATGCCAATGTTGCGTGGCCAGGCTATCTGCATGATCGATGATATCATTGAGCACTGCGGTGGTTCCGCTCAGGAGCTGCTTCCGTTGTTCTTGAACCAGCTGGTTCAGAGTCTTGAAGATCCGAGTCCGTCTGTCGTTCAGGCGGCTGCTTACGGGATCGGTGTCAGTGCAGAGAAGTGTGGTGCTGCGTTTGATCCGTTCTGCCAGAACGCGCTTGAGAAGATGGTGCAATTGATCAACGCGTCGGCGACCGTAGAAGACGACGAGGTGAGTGCAGCTCGTGACAATGCTATCAGCGCTGTGGCCAAGATCTGCCTGGCGCGAGAGGGTGCTATGGACGTTGCCCAAATGTGGCCTACGTGGCTCAGCTGGCTCCCGCTTCGGACCGATGTGCTTGAAGCTCAAGACGTGCATGCCCGTCTCATATCACTGGTGAGTGGTGGGAATGTCCATGTGCTTGGTACCGACTACGCCAACCTCGCTCAGATCCTGAAGGTGTTTGCATCAGCTCTCGGTAAGCTCACGTCGCGTCTACTGTTTGTCACTGGAGATATGTGTTTGTTGATCTAAGCATCGCTGTGTGCTTTGATGTAGTGTTCGACATGATGGCAGCAGAAGATGCTGCAGACGACGAAGAAGTGTTAACAATTTCGGAAAAGATGAAGCCAGAGCTCCGTGAGTTGCTGGCGAAGTTGCAGTCTCAATTACCCGGTCCGGTGGTGCAGAATGCGTGGGCAAAGCTCAGTGGTGATGAGCAACAGGCTCTGTCTCAGCTGTGATGTTTCGAGGGTGAGCCGGCCGGAATGTAGTAATTGAGATGACGTTCGACCTCTTAGATGAAGGATCGAAAACAATAGGATAGAGATGTGAACACAATGGAATGAATAGGCAGGCTGGATGCATGTTTTTGCCTGACAGCCGCGAGTAAAAATGAGTTACGAATGCACTATCCGCCGCAAGCATTTGGCTCCAGCATGGTATTTACTTCTAGTAACTGGCGAGCATCAAGCTTAGGTACTAAAAATCAGGATAGCAGAGCTCCTGGTTGTCGATTATGCTTCATTTGAGGCTAGATAGCAAAGGTTTGCATCACTTCCTGGACACGGGTACTTCCACTTATCGCCTGAATAGAAACTTCAGTGCCAGTCCCGCAACAACCACTGCACCAAAGATGCTCACGCCAACCACTCCGTCTTCTGCTCACAAATTCACAACGCGTCGAATCAACCACTGCATATGAACATCAACTTCAACGTCCATCAACGACCGAGCCAAACCTTTTGCCACGACTTCCTTAATCCTTTTGTGCAGCAATTGAGCCTTCATATGTGATGGCTCCATGCGGAGCAGCCGTTCACAATAGCTTCGACTTGCACGGTACTCGCCCAGTCCGCACAGTGTCAGAGCAATCCAGTACAAGCTCTCCTTAGGAGCATAACCCTGGTTCAATAGATCTAAGACGCACGAAATCAATACCGACGTCTTTCTATCCTGTAATTTTTGCTACACCGTACCTTCCAGTATACCGATTGCCCGGTATTTGTCGTCACGTTTGCGACTTTTCGCCAATGCAATGGCGTATCGCAATTTGACCTATTTTTCAGCAAAAGTTGATACAAATGGTATCAGAAACGATCTCCGTTTGGTACTCAAGGGTCAATCAGGTGGAATGACGACTGTGTGCCTGAGGCGATGGCTGTTCCTTCTCTTGTTCTTGTAGATAGTCTTCGCGTGCGGCTGCTAGCTCTTCAGGTGAGAACCACTCCGCGTCCGACTTGGCGTCCATGATAGTTATTGTAACGTTCCCGTCCCTACTTTGCTCAAGTGAGCAAGTCGAAGAACGATAAACTGATTTGACCGGACCAAATATTTAGGTGACACCTATTTGTTTTCATTGACTGCGCGCTTTAGATACTGCATGGTCGTTTCGATACGCTTTGCGCACATCGTGAAAGAGCTGCATAAGCATCCATAATCAATGAGTCATAATCTGCTTAAGGCGCCACATGATAATCATTCTAAAACCACGCATGCCTGAGCGTTTAGCAGATTGATCAACATAATGCCTCCGAACGCCATCGCCCAATGCAGCTGCAGCATGCAAGCACGTCAATCAATCGACCATATAAACATCGCGATAGAGAGCAAACAACGGGTTGCACCTGGTAGGCAAAAAGACTTCGTGCGTGGTAAGTCAGCACGGCAACGACAGCGTGAAGAGGAAGCCGGGCAATGACAAAGAAGACCCATTGTGCACGCCAAACCCACCGTAGAAAACGAGACTGTCGTACCGAGAAGTTGCTCATCGTCAGGAGCTTCCGAGCGTGCATGAATACCGAGTGCAGCTCGCAGACAAGTGCCAAAGACAGTAGTGGCACGCCCACTGTCTTCGTAAGTGCTGAGACGTAGCAAATGAGCACCACGACGTGGTGGAGCACGACGTCGGGAGACTTTATGTAGAGCCTGTTCAGCACGTAATCCCACAAGTCGTATACAAAGTACCCTGAGCAAAGGAGGAGGAGACACAACGTCAGCAAATTCTCCATCCAATAACAAAAGCTACACAACACAACCTGTCGAGAGCGCAGTAGTGAGGAATTCGCTCTTCGTGACACTATTGATGTAGTCGTTATGTAGCGAGTGCGACGTCAGCAGAGTCGAAATCAACAGCAGCGAGGACAGCACCGAGTGCAGCATTGACACTGCCGTGTTGCAGTACAGTAGCTGAGCGACTGGCGACAAAGTGGGGAACGCCTTCACCATCGCCGAAGCCAATGGGGCGGTCATCACACGAGCCATCGCGAAGCCCTGAGATGGAAAACAAGAGTCCACTTTAGCATTGCCGATCGAGAGTACAAAGACGAGTCAAGTACGGGATGAGTCTGCAGTTGTAGATGTAGTAGAAGTAGTACCAACGAAGAGGCCAAGACAATCCACAGCCGTGGATCGCTGTATAGCTAGCGCAAAACACAGAAGAGGACAAGGCATAACCGTTATCCGAGTTGGTGAGTGCATTGATGTGCTTTATATGGTGCACATGGATCCACTTGATCGGCCTTACCATTGCCGCGCACAAGCTGATCCATATGACAACAAGCGCTTGTATGGACATGGCAGCCGCAAGTACTTTATGGATGAAATATGAGGGAACGCGAGGCACAAAGCTGCTTTACGATATTCGGAGACGTTCCCGCACGTCATGGCGATCGTCGTGCTTAGAACCAATGAAAGACCAGACAGTGCGATTTCTGCCAATCGAGACATGCGATGGCGACCGTTGCGAGACATTGAGACATCGGGGAGTCGGTGACCCCAGCACATCATCATCACGCTCAGTTTACGATATCATCATCACGCTCAATTTAGAAAAAAACATTTCTAAACGAAGGACGCAAACTTGCACTTGTGCGTCACTATTGTGATAATCTTTAGTTGTTTGAACATGCGACGCGACGCTAGACTTGAACGACTTTTTACGACGCTAGACTTGAACGACTTTTTTCGACGCAAGACAAGGCGGTAGATGTTTAAGCAGTTAATTAACAAATTAAAGACCCGGCGGTGCTTCAGCGCCGAGGCACGTTCATGGAAATCTTAGGCGGCAAATGAAGAGAACAGGTACAGTGTAAAATGCTACAGGCTAGAGGTGACGGCAACAATACACACGTTTTCTCGCTTCATAACCAGGCGAGAGAGAAGGCTCGTCAGCACTTGCGTCTACAGTCAACGCCAAGTCCTCCATGTTTACTTGTGGCGATTCCCACCCCACAGTCCCTCCCTCTTTTCTCGTGTACTCTTGGTCGTCAGATAAATTATAATCATGCTGGAAGATGACTGAGACAAACCCGCGGTCGTTAGTCGTCTTCGCGACAGATGCGCTGGAAGATCGTCAGACGCGAAAACTTGGACATCACGGACTCGGAGCTGCTCGAAGAACGAGGCGACGACAAGCTCAATGCGTCCGCACTGCAGCTGCTGGTGATGCTGCTGCGCTGGTCACAGCTACCAGTGTCGCTGCTTGGAAAGCCATAGCGGAGAAACGGGTCGCAGCTCAAGTACGAGTCAAACTCGGGCCTGGGCGACGACGACAAGCGAGTCAGAGGAGCCAATGACATGGACTGGTGGAAGCCACTGAACGGCTGGGACAGGTCGATCGGCTCCAGTGCACTGCCGTACGGGTTCACCAGCAGATCCTTTGACGGTAGCGACTCCTGGTCGTCCGACTCGCTCGAAGTGCTCGACAAGTCGCTGCTGCCGTAGTTGACGAACCGCTGGTCTTCTTTGCCAGGGTATCGCGTGTGGATGAAGCGACACCGCGAACCGTACAAGCACTTGCCCGTGGACAAGAAGGCCTTGCACCGAGTGGTCTTGTACTTGGGATGACGCAGCACGCCACGCAGCTCGTCCTCACCGTGGGCAAACTGGCACTTGGGGCCGTAACGACAGCTGCCGTTGTCCGTGTAGTGCTTGCAGAGCTCCGTCTTGTACAGGTTGTTGCGAGCCGTCTGTGGCAGTCGTCCGCAGTCGACAATGTCGCCGTTCGCCAGCACGTGCATCCGGTTGGCGTTGTGGTAGCTCGATGTCTCAATCGGTTCCATCTCGGTCATTCGCATGGGTCGTGCTTTAGTACTGGAACAAGTGGCGCTGGTTGTGGTGAGACTCGACTAAGTGGACGGACGGACGGACCACAAGAAGCAGACGACTTGCAAACCAAGTGGAAGACGGCGTCGAAAGACAAACTGACTATCGATGTCCACTGCGAAAGTGAATTGCGTTGTGACGTGTGCGTGTACCAGGCGGTGAGTGTGCTCGATTTTCTCTCTCACCCCCGAGCTGAACCGTCGGGTAGCAGCGACCGTGCATAGCCGTGCACTGTCTTTAGATCGACGACGGACTACAGAAAACAGGCGCGCAATCCCCAACCCGCGGCCCTTTCTGCTGCCTTATCCTTCTGAGTCGACGCCTTTGTACTCGACTTCAGACGACGACACGACAACCACGTTCAGTCGAATGTACCAACTAGCGAGTAGAGACGGGCCCGTCATGACCTTATTCCTGCCGTTTGGCCGGCCGTTCAGACAGGGGGTCGGGCTGATTTTCTTCCACAGTCGTTTGCCACCTCATCCTTACTTGGTTATATTTGGTCACTGCTGTTTGTGGCCACAGTTGTCGCTGCCACAGTTGCCACAGTTGTCGCTGCTGTTGTTGCTACTGTTGTCGCTGCTGTTGCAGCCCGTGCTGCCATTTACTATCGTGTGCTGGGGATAGGCGTACAAGGACGACAGCCTCGCGACGTTTTCGGCCCCAGCAAGGGATGAGGCTTTTTAGTGGCGCCTCGACGGCTATCGGGCCATCTGTTGCCTTCCTCTCGGCTCTTCCAGCCGTTTTATCGCGCTGCTTCAATCAGACTCGGCTACCATAGCCAGTGCTTGCTTGGTCTGCGTGAAAGCTGTCTACGGTAAAGTAACAAGTAAAAGCACGTGTTGTCCACGTCGTAGAGACAAACGCGGTCGTGCCGACTCGGGGTGCGCTGGAAAATATCAAGCAATCGTAAAAAAACGCGGCAAGACTTGACCGATGACCTATGTATTGCCAGTGACAAACTAGGTGCAGGTGTTGTCGCCGGCTCTTAGGCTTCGAACAGACGGCGCAAGTCACACGTGGCGAGGTGTAAACTAACTAACGTGCGCAACCACGGCAAACAAGCAGAGACGGCGTGCGGTAACTCGTCTTGTGCGCGCATGACTGAAGCTGTTGTCGCTACCACTGCTCTGCAGCTGCAACAGAGTTTATTTATTCGTAATTGAGACTTGTTTACTCATGACTTAGTTAGTGCACCGAAAAAACGCGCGAGTGGATGACGAGGATTTTTCGACGTTCTGACTATCACGGCCGCTGGACCATCGCCATGTTGACATTACAACTTCTAGTCGTTATTAATAGCACCGAGCTGAGCAGACCGACGCAAGGTTACGGTTGTCAGACCAGGAGGGACGACGACGTCGCGGAAGCGAAATCGCCGCATCGCTTTTGGTCGATACTATAGCCCGCTGGATCGCTGTTTGAACCGCGGCGTCGTAAGAGAGTTCAAGTCTTTACGCATTAGACAACATGTGCTAATCATGAAGGCAGAGCACGCCAGCCCCGCCATGAGCTGGCAAGAGATTAGCTCCAGTCGCTTCTTTCCTGTTGACCTTTCTCATCCCCGCAAAACTTAGTCTTGTATCGGGACCGATCTGGGAAATACCATCGTCTCCTCGCCACTTGCGCGTTTTTTACATCCAATAGTGGAGATCAAGTCAAGCTGACTGTCTGACAGTCGTCATCACGTCGACAAATACGAAGGGACGAAGTGGCGAGCAACGACGCGGCACTGCAATGCTACGCTTGCAGAAACAGGACGACCGAGCACAGCGAACGGTGTAATCTATTGTTACGCCAGCGATCGCATGCTTCGTTTTGTACGGCTTTGTCTCCCCTCGCCCGATTCCATAGTGCTAGCCTCTTCAGCCCTTTTACATCACAATGGCTGTCGTCTCGGCAGACTTTTCCACGAGGTCCCAGTAGTGCACAACGCTCTTGGCTTCCATAACCTTCCGCGCTGTAGCTGACGTCCGGCACTCTTGGAATCGAAAGTTGTTGAAAGCCTTGCGGGCTACAACGCCTTGCCAGACAAGCAGGCAGCCGTTGCCGCGGGTTTGCAAATCCTCGTCCTCACTCTCGGACTCCTGCCGGGCCTCGCGAGACCCGGTCCAGTCGATGCGTCGCATCATCAGCTTCGTGTACTGCTTAATGGCCTTTTTGCCTCCTTCAACCACCACCATGTTGATGTTGCTATCCTTACAGAGTAGCACGCCTCCTGTGAGATGGTACTGCTGCGCATTGACGTCAACCTTGAAACGGTGCTGCGGGTTTGAGAGATCGGGCACCCTTTTCATAGCAGCAAATGAGTCAGTTTAGACGACGCAAAAACTTTACAACGCAAAAAGAGGAAAGCAGATACGTACTTGAAGAGCGCCACATGAATGTCGCCAGCGGCATCGTCTTTGATCTTCCGTAGCCTCTTTTCACGACGCTCCTCTGGCGTAAGCTTCCGAGCGAGATTGCGCATCTCGTGATTTTTCTCACGCTGCGCGATTTGTTCGCGAACCTTACGCTCAATAGCCGATGGATCTGCCACTGCTTGCTCCGACAGCACGCGCATCATATTTGACAGCTTCACCTTTGGCTCAGGTGGCGGCAACAGCCCTAGGGCTCTCTTATCCTGCTTATCCTTCTCGCGATCAGCGCGATTCTGACGACGAATTTTCTTGCGCTCCTGGTTACCGCAATCCAGAATGACATGTTGGTATCAGAACTTTCCTACACATATTATTCAGCGTACAGTACGTACTGCAGTAGTGAGCATGAGTGGAACAGCCACGGGTGTATCATCACGCTTCATAATCAGGTTTAGCCGAACGGGATGCTCAATGACATGCGCAGTGCCGCAATACTTGAGTTTCATATCCGAGTATGACACTGTCACGTCTGGGTTCTCCTTACGGACTTTAGCGGTAATGAAACCAAACTTGTCCACTACGATGCGCTTGTCTTTTGGAAGGTATTCCACATCCCACCACTCGATATCAGGCGTAGATGTCTCTGCCTGCGACGGAACATCCACACTGTCGATATCCATTCTACTAACAGCATCAGCATCTACTTTTGCGTCCTCGGCTTCGTCGTCAACAGGAACGATCGATTCCTTCTGGTATCCTCGCGGATTACGTCCAGACGTAAATCCAGCCATCATCTTTTTTGCATCACGTGCGCGCACTTGTTCTGCTTGCCTTACAAACGTTCCTTCTGCGACAAAATTAAACGTCTTGCGTGCACGTCTGTACACAGCGTCATATACGTAGCAAACAAAAAAGAAGTCAACAACATCCACTTTATGCTCTCAACCACGTTGCAGAAACGCAAGTCACGGACGTTTCTCGCTTCGTAGTCTTAAGCCTCGGGTCCACAGTCTCCATCTTGTCCTTGTCATCGACCATACGATGCGATAAGTACGGATTCTGATCCATTTTTGCAGCGTCACTACTTTTAGCAGCTTTCTGATTCGCTTTGAGCATCGCAACTGGTGCCACCGTCGGCTTCTCGGCAACAACGTTACCCGCTGAATCAATCTCCCGCCCTTGATCATCCAACAGCAGTGGAGCTGGCATGAACACACCACCACTCGTTGCTCCACGCTGATGTTCTCCAGGTGAAGCCGCTACAGGTCCAGTCGTAGCAGCCCCAGGCTTCCGCAATAACGCCTTGATGTGGCTCATCTGACTCTGCACCGACTTGTAAATTTGGTCGGTTCGCCGCCTCTTTTCCTGCTCAAAGCGTCGAATTTCCTCCGGGTCCAATGGCTCCATCGTGCTTCGTAGTATAGGTGCTGGGATGGGTACACTTGCTGCGGTCGCGGACCCAGGGATAGCACGCGCGATCTTGGCTGCTGCCGCACGAGCCAAGGCCGAGGGGTCCATAGCGGTCTTACTTCCAGTATTTGCATGATTTAAAGCGGCAGTTGGCGCGGCAGCAGTCATCGGAGCATCGCTGAACCTGCTCTTCCGCTTGCGTCGAGGCACTTCGACAGGCTGCGCCATGGCTCGTGGCGTAAATGGACGAGAGTTTGCGTTTCGCTTTATTTTGTCCAATAACATGGCAGTTCCGTCTCACCACATGGATTGGTTGAAATCACGCTGACCTAATCTCGTGACCACGCGATGATGATGAAATCGAGGGGAGGAAAAGCCAGAGCGGAGAAAACGGGACGATACCAGTGCGCATTCATGTCAGCTATCGTGTTCCACGGGACATACGTTCTCAGAGGTAGAAACTTCAGCGACTTTGTATCGTAACCCTCCATATCTCGATTCTCCCATGACATTATCATTTCTCTTTGTCCATTTATTCTCCGCTCACTGTCTTCAAGCCTTTCGCCACCCGGTGCCGCACAGAAACGAAAAGAAACCGCACAGGGCAAGTGATCGACCATCACTCTCGCGCCGGTCTTTCCGCACTGCAACCGCACGCCAAATGACCTTGTCGTCGCCCAATCCAGCGTCAACGTCCAAGAAGCCCAGCGTGGCCGAGGTCATGGACGAGCTTCAGAGCCGGTTCCTCGTGAACCTGCCGGCGTCCGAACTCGCGTCGAGCGAGCGCCTCTTTTTCCAGATCGAGCAGTGCTATTGGTTCTACGAGGACTTTTACGCCGACCAGTACGCGCACGTGCCGCACGTCAAGCTCAACGACTTTGCCAGCCGCATCTTTGCGCACTGTCCGTTGCTCCAGCCGCTCGCGCATCGCTGCGACGAGCTCTTCCAGGACTTTAAGACGTACCAGCGGCAAGTGCCGGTCGTGGGCTGCATTCTGCTCAACGCCAAGCGCACGAAGCTCGTGCTCGTGCGCAATTGGAAAGGCACGAGCTGGACGTTTCCCCGCGGCAAAGTGAACGAAGGCGAGTCAGATGTGGACTGTGCGCGTCGCGAAGTGCTGGAAGAGTGCGGCTACGACGTCACGAACAGTCTCGTGCCGAGCGAGTACTTGGACTTTGTCGCATCGGACCAGCGCATGCGCATGTACGTGTGCGTGAACGTGCCGGAGACGTACGCGTTTGCCCCGCAGACGCGCAAAGAGATTAGCACGATCGAGTGGTTTGCGTTTGACGCGCTGCCGAAGAAAACGTGGAGTGTCATGCCGTTTATGTCGAGGCTCAAGCGCTGGGTGAAGACGCACAAGGGGATCAAGACGAAGAGCGGGAGTAGCAGCTGCAGTACGAGCACGACAGCGAACGGCAGCGCTGGTCGTGCAGCGTCGGTGCCGCGGAATCGACCGCTGACGATGACTGCCAGTGTCGTGACGGAGCATAGTAAGGACAGGCATACTGTTGGAAGTAAGAAGAAGACGTGTCGACAAGAGCGGTCGGTGTCCACGCCGCATAACGATCGACCAGCAGCGGGTAAGCCGAGCTCGAAGGAGGCGATTCGCGGCCATTTTGGGACGGAATGGGACACAGCGACGTCATACGATGGAGTGAATTGCGAGACGTTTGGGACGGATAAGAAGGGGTTTAGTGTGGACGAGATGTTTCGTGTGAACGAGCGCTTGACTGGCCAGACGTTCAAGTATGATGGCAATCCACATGATTTCGGGAAACCCATTTTGCACATGACAGCAGCAACTCCGCGGAGGGCAGATTCACTATTTAAGCCAAACGATCAGCGGCCCGTGCAGATTCTCGCGCGATCGCTGTCGGCGCCGTTAAAGCGCGTGGATGAGGAGACGTGTGCAGCAGCACCTAGTCCACGTCAGTCTGTAGGTGCGACGCCGTTCGGGTCGTTCCAGTTTGACGCCGTGGACATTATGGCTGTTGTGACTTGAAGCGATAGCGACGCTGACAAGTCGATTGAAGGGACGGCTCTGTTGCTGCGAGGATGAAGGGCTTGACAAAAAGGGATTGTGGAACCGTCACCTTTCGCTCCCGTTGGCGCTTTATTTCGCCCCGACCGTCGGACGCTTTGATCAATTGTCGCTTTATGTATTGCATATTGTTCTCTAGCCATGTAAGATAGGAAAAGGCTGAGGTCGTCCCATTGCTCGCTCATGTGGGTCCATGGTGACCAGAAGCTAGGTGTTTTTAAACACCGCCCTTTTGAGAAGAAAAGTCGGATGCATCGCTGGGACTTTTCGATCGCAAGCCGAGAGGATGAGCCAAGAAGATTTGGACAAAGAGGAGGACGCTGAGGTGAAGCAGGCTCACGTACGTCAAGTTGGCACGACGTGCGTTCTGTCATTATTCTGTTCTTCGTACACAATGGAACGCCATCGGGACAGCGTCGCGCTATTCAGCAGCCTTCTTCGCGTCCTACGCCTTCAACGAAATACGCGAAACCGCCGCACCAGCCTCTGACCACAAGCACACTCTTACTCTCCGGGCGCGGTCGTGTACGAGATCCAGCAGACGAGGACAAGCTGTAGGCACGAAACTCTGCAGGTCCAAGCAAAAGAAAGATAAGTTGAGGATGAGCATACGTGCGCACCAAGGTATTGTCAATTGAAGATCCTCACCCGAAGAGAAGGTAGTTCCGGAAGAGGCGGTTCTCAGAGCTCGGTTCAGCAACGCTGCCTTTCATACAATTCAGCTGCGCAACATACAAGACACAGTCGTGTTACACATCGAACATCAAACGACTCAGCTTCCAGGCAAAATATAAAAAAAATAAAGCACCCACCGTAAAGTAGGACACAGCAACACCAGTGTACAGGAGCGAAACGTAATAAGCGATAGAGCCCAGCAGCTGATAGACGACCGCGTTGATCACCAGTGGAATATACTTGTAGCCGGAAAAAGAAACCAAGTCGAGGAATGAAATGGAGCTGTTCAGCACGTAAAGGCAGGCAGCAAGTACGCCAATTTCGACCAGCTGCATCACAAGACAGTAGCTCGCATCTTTGCTGATCACATCTGGACTGAACCTGTCATAGGAAAGCAACCGTGAGATCGATTGTTTCGAACAAAACGATCGAGCCCCACAAACTTCGCAACGTACTGGTTCGAAGTGCCCTTGGAATAACCCACAATCAAAATGTAGGTAAGGAAGCCCATCAACGGGATGTAGAGGTCCGGTGCATTACTGTCACGAGTGGGAGGAGCGTGTTGCATCTGCTCATATGTGACAAACCGCACACTGACTTAAGCACCATATAAATTGTGGTCAAGTTCGGTAACAAGCATTCTCCACAAACGTACTGGTTTCGATTCGTCTTGATTGCCATTGCCCATGCGGCGCCAATTCTTGTGTACGAAAGGGAGCAACAAGATCTGGCATTTTCAGAAAAAGGAAGTCAGTATCGAACCGAAATGTAGCGCACAACATGTGACCAGACTTTTGTTACCTTGAGACGACTCTTGACGTAAGAGTTGTTGACCGTGAAGTAGTACTTGAGACTGCCCCAGATGCCATATGCTCCTGGGAGATACATCTCCGATTGTTTCTGCAGAAAGTCCTGTGCACTGTTCATCGCTAAACCGGCCATTGGATTGCTACATCAGCATCAAAGCACAGGATACAAAAACATGTCAACGGTTAACCCGGCCGTCACCTTTTATCCACAAAAAACCGTACGAACCCAGGAAACTGATTGATAAAGTCAGTTGATTGCTCCTGCTGAGAACGCTGCATGTGCTGCTGCTGCTGCTGCACGTTGCTGCTCGGTGATGCTCGCATGTGTACATCCTGGGCAACCCCGTCAAAGTTGTCTGGATGACGTTGTTGAAAGCCTGGCATTGGCATCTGATACTGCTGAGCAGGAGGCAACGCAGTCATTTCTGGATGACGGTACTTCACAACATCACAATAGACGACACCCATGTCAGTAAATAGGCAATTTACACAATCACTGACACTACTTGTGCTACTTCACTACTTCACTCACGTCCTGGGCAAAAACAGGGACAGCTTGCTGCTGGTGAAGCCGTTCCACGGTACGTGGCTGCATATGCACAGGCGCTGCAACCGCTGCAGGTTTCTGGTAGAATTGGTGGGCAGGGCCACGCTGGGGCGTTCGCTGTGTAGCCAACCCAGGCGGCGTCGCGCCATAACCCGGGGTCGAGCTGAACTGCTTCGACTGCGGATGAGTGTAGAGGTTCGGGAACGAGCCTGCAGTTTTACATTTACAGTCAGATAGTAAACAGTGTGTGGGAAACGAGGCAAGGAGAGCAGAGGTTGTAGGACGACTGTACCTGGCTGAGCCATGACTTGCGATGGTTTATGCGGGCCTGACGAAGCTTATGAACTGGTGCTGTCGTAATAATTCGTGTGGTGGGTGTTGTGCACACCATAGATCGATTCACTACAGTGACTACTACGGGCACCGCACTTAGCCTCATGGATACTATTTTGCATAATTTGTTTTTTTTCTTCCTTATCACCCGATTTCGCACGTGTGGCACTGATTAAGAATGCAGACTATCAGATAGGGGAGCAAGCTCTGCAGCTCGCCCTTCGAACTAATTAATCAATCCACTTTCGAAAACTGAGTCAAGTTGCAAAACACTATGCAACGGCACACACTGAAGAATGAGTATAATGCTGTTCGTATATTTATCAATCCTGTACAGTAGGCTAGGGCGATGCAAACAGCCTTAGTTGATGAGTGTACATGTAGCGGAGCTACCACAGCTCTAAAGTCAGAGGAGGAATTTACGGGTTAAGCCAGAGGCTTATGGCTGACAGCCAATTAGTTCTAAGGAACTAATATTTCAAGTTAAAGAGTCGGCTAGTTCTATGGAATTTAGCGCGGACTCTATGAGCTATTAGCTCAGACTACTGTAGTTGTAAGGAACCACCCGCACAATGTGCGAAGGGGAATACAGAAGTCTAAGGACTCTCTAACCCACGACAGCTCTACAGAACTGTCAAGCGCAACGTGCGAAAGGGTGGAAGTCTACGGACTTCTGCTCAAAATGAGAACTGAATTGATTTAGATTTTATATCGAGGAAAAACCTACTTTAAGTACCCTACATTCTACTAAACTAGAACGAATTCGAATATGAGTATTCGAACTAAACGGATGCTTGGCACATCACTCAGTCATCAAATGATGACGGTACAAAGGACTTCCACGGTAAGTACCGTAACTTAGGGAATACCGACTGATCTGTATTCTCTATTGATATAAAATCTAAGGCCACACTTGTCTCCCATATCACATATGGGAGGTCTTCAACCAGTTTAGCCGACGGCTAGTGTGACCTCGTTACACCCTCCCCCACCAGACTGACGTTACCACAAAACGTCACTCGACTTGTCTCCTCATTAAGGTTGTTACTTGGTAACTTGTCACCATGGACTGACCTGGACATTTAAAAGATAAGGCTCTCGCAAAATTCCTTGGTGTTGAGGAAGTGGACGATGGCAGTGATAGTGATACCGCCAATCAGGCGGAGGGGAAAGTTGAACCCAGCACATCTGTGCGTGACCGTATCTCAAGTCCGGCACCGAATTTGTTCATTAAACTTGAAGCCGTGACAGCGCTACCAGCGCTGGGTGTAATTCCTAACATGGACCCATTCATAATCAATAACTTACTTGAAGAGGAGCAACACCGCATACTCGACCAGGCGAAGTGTGCACGGTGTAAGTCATAGAATCCGACCACCTTACAGCGACACCGTGAATACACATTCACTCCGCCTGACGTGGAAGAACACATCTGTCAAACAGCTGGCCATCCTTTGTCAGGGTGGGCCATTGGCTTCGAGGCGAAAACGCCCACGGAAATCGAATGCCTTTAGGCTCTTTGAAAAAGTTATTTGGAACCTGTTGTTATTACCTCGAAAGAGTATCGAGAAAGACTCCAGAAGCAGGCCAGAGGCACGTTGGTTCCACCGATACAGGGTATACTCGTCTTAATGTCTGAGGGTGAGGACGACGTCTCAGATGATAATGCGTTCATACGCTAGGTACATGGCGTTCGACGCCTCAGTAGTATGATACACCTGAGAGCAAATGCCAGTTTGGCAGACGTTTGTCGAAAGCAAACACTTCGCTTCGACTTTGCAAAGTCATAGGCCAAAGGCCGACCGAGGGGAATATCTCATTACCGCTATGCTTCGGTTGATCCCGCAGCCGCGAGTTCACGTCAGTATTTTGACACAAACCCTCCCACTCTCACTCTGGCTATTGAGAAGCGTGGTTCTCGTCAAGACGGGCCTGATCGTGGCGCTCAGAAACGTCCAAGTCGTATGGGCAATTTTGCCAAAGGGGTATCTCATACTCCCATGAGTTATCAAACTCGGGATGTTCACGCCACTTCACCAGGTATTGGTAGTGATCGTGACGAAGACGTCGTAAAAGTAACTTTTTTACACGGAATTAGAGGTTCCCATGCTTATCAAGCAACACCGGTGGTGGTCGGTGTATCAGCTGAGAGCCACTCGAATCTGTCGAAAGATGTGACTAGCCTCCGTGAGACTTTAGGTCAAATCCAGCATGCTTTGAACGAAGGGCAGTTCGTCTGGTGACGCTTGAAGGCGATCACGTCCGTCTTCAGACGATGGAGACACGTCTGACTCGTGCTAAAGCGCCGCTTGATCTCTTGATCCGGATGCAACATCCTAGGGCAATGCCAATGTACGCGGTACCAGCGCCCTCGAGTCAACAAGGGGTGGATCCCGGTACCGCTTAAGCATGCTCACATAAAGAATTTAAAATTTTCTCGTTAAGCCGAGGATCACGGTCTAGAATAATTGCCACAGGCAAACTATGTTGACGAAAGACCCGATCAATAAACAGCTGTGCTGTGCGTTCACCATCGATCGAGTCCGGCACAGCCGCTATATGATCCATCTTGCTCAAACGGTCAACAAAGACCACAATACCATTGTTGCCATCCGAATCTTTCGTTAGGCCGAACACAAAGTCTATACTGATGTACCCCCAACACCCAGTGGGAACGGGTAAACTCACCAAAGGTGCAGCCGCTTGAGCGGAAGGTTTAACGCGTTGACACGTTACACACGTACGCACATATATGCTCACACATTTACACAATTTGGGCCGCAAAAACGTCTGGATAATTGAGCCATATGTCTTCTCACGACCGAGATGACCGCTTAAAGCAGTGTCGTGTGCTTCAAAGAGGATGCGATACTTCAAGTCATTATCATGGGGAACAACGATGCAAGGCAAATACTCAACACCCGCGCAATAGCACAACATCCCACCATCGATGAAATATTGATGTAGTATCGCTCGTGAGCGTGCTGATATATTGATGTCCGAGTCTTTGAAACCCTAACAGCCTAGTGCGCGAAATAACGCGACACACTGCTCATCCTTGGCAGAAATTTCACAGGATAAATCAGGGATAGACGACGACAGAGTCGTGAGATGAGCAAGCCTCATAATCAGGTCTGCGTGATAACGCATCAGACAAAGCATTGCGCTTTCTTGACTTCTACTTCAACTCGCAGTTATATTCTGCAAAGAATGGAAGCCACCGGGTCATTCGTTATGAAAGTTGAGGCGTCTGGGTCGCAGTGCGTAACGACGCATGATATGTACAGATCACAAAAGGCTTTAAGCCAAGCAGATGCACTCTGAATTTCCCAGTAGCTCCTTGTCACAAACTGGATAGTTTCTTTTCTGCAGCTTTCAGCTGGCGCCACTCATACGAGATGACGCGTTCATGTTCATCTACATCTGTCAACAATTGTGCACAACCAATAGAAAAATCATACGCGTCACAGACGACACTAAATGTCCACTCAGAGTCAGGCAAAGCCACAATTGGAGCATGAAAAATGCTATTCTTGATGGTTCGTAAAGCTAAAGTCTAGACTCTGTCCCAACATTAAATCCAATTCCTTTTAAGGAGGTTGGCTGATGGCCTCGCCATGCCAGCTTAGTTTGCACTATACTAGAGCAAGTAATTAGCTAAACCGGGCCATTTTCGCGAGTCCTTTTGGTTTGAAGGAACCAGCCAGTCAACTATTGACTTTACATTAGCGGGATCCTTTCATAGGCCGCGCTTCCCAATGTATCACCCTAGGAAGAGGATTTCTTCAGCACCAAAGATGCATTTTAATGCATTTTCATACAACTAATTGGTGCGCATGCACCCGAGCACTGCTCGTAAGTGGTCAATGTGATAGTCCACATCTGATTAGCCATGATCTACACGGCTGCGGACAAAGATGTCATTAAAATAGCCTTGTGCATATCCTCGATGAGGTCGGAACAACGGCGTCGAGAGAAGATTGAATGTCGCCGGGGCATTAGACAGCCGTTGAGGCACGACAAGCCACTCTCAAAAGATATCGCTTAAGTGCTAACCGCTGTGAGCGAAATCTTATCGCTAACATGAGCAATTGGTAATGCCCATCAACTAAATCGAGTGCACTGAACATGGTACAACCTACTATAGCTTTCTGAAGAACATCCTTTCTAGAGATAGGCGTCTGTGCTGTTTTAGTGGCTACGTTAAGCTTATTATAAGCATGCTAAATGTACCACTTGCCACTTGGCTTCGTGTCACAAAACGTCTGTGTCGAATAAGGAGACTTGATCTCACGGACCATGCCAGCCACGTGCTTTGCACGAAAGAACTCGTCAATCACGTCACACTTCTCCTTTGGAAGGGGCCATTGCCGGGTCACACAGCATTTGGTCCCAATGATCAGGACAATATCATGACGCACACCTCTGTCGGGAGGTAGGTTAGATGGTGGATCGTTACACACCACATGCTGAGATTCGTTAACCAGGGAGTAGGAGAGATTCGAAGGATCCTTCAAGATAGCATATTCACTGTGAGCGCTGAGTGCAGCTTTAATGTCCTCAACTTCTGCCTTTTTTAAAAGGGATAACGAGTTCAACTCTGGGTCAGGTCTAAGGACCACCATATCCGACAAGGCACCGGCCCTCAAGGCCTGATGAAATTCATCTACATACATTTCATCTAGCTCTAACAGAGTATTGAGCGATGGCAGGGCCTCGAGGCCAACCTCTCCATCAATAACGCCCATCATCCCATTGACCGATGTGTTCAACTGTTCAATGGTGCGCTTTAGGACATGGTAGATGCCTTTAGTTTTGGAGCAGCCATCTGGAGTCGCTGACGTCTCTGCACAGAGACTGAACACTCCAACGTAGGTGTAACATTCGGTTCCGCGAGGTGAAGATCATCTACAACCTCAACTTGCTCTATGTGAGAGCCAATGTCATCACCTACAACAAGTGTGGTGCCATC